TTGCTTTAGGAGATGTATCCAAAAAAATACTGCTATGAATTATGTCAAAGGGTGTTCTGCCTGGGTTCCCCCTAAGTTTTATGGTATCTGGTCTTATATTTGGGTTTTTAATCCATTAATTTATTTTTGTATATGGTGGTAGAGTGTATTCTATTCTAATTTCATTCTTTTACATGTAGCTGTTCAGTTTTGCCAGCTTCAATTACTGAAGAGACTGTCTTTTTCTCCATTGTATATTCTTGCCTTGCCTTTTTTTTTTGTAGCTGAATTTACCATAAGTGCATGAGTTTACTTCTGGGTGCCCTATCCACTGAGCTTTGTGTTTTTGTGTCAGTACCATTCTGTTTAGATTACTGTAGCTTTATAGTCTGAAATCAGGGAGCATGATTCCTCCAGCTGAGTTCTTCTTTCTCAAGATTATTTTGTTGGGAGTCTTTTGTGTTTCCATACAATTTTTAAAATTATTTGTTGTAGTTCTGAAAAAAAAAAAAGTCATCGGTCTTGGTAGATTGCATTGACCTGTATAGACTGCCTTGGGTAGTATGGCCATTTTAACAACATTAGTTCTTCCAATGAACTAATGGTGTATCTTTCCATATGTTTGTGTCATCGTCAGTTTCTTTCATCAGTATCTTAACAGTTTTCCAAATTCCAGTTTATTTTTAGTTTAGATATTACAATTGAGTAAACTATAAGAAAACTCCCTTTTGTATTCTCTAAGTGGCACTACAGCTGATTTGTCTAGGCAGAGCTGGCTCCCATGGCTGCTCTCAGAATGTGCACAAGTTGCTAGCAGTGGAGTAGGGAGAGGTAGGCTTTGCAATTAAGGATTTGGTGGTACCCACAGCTAGTGGGGCACACCCAGAGGTCTCTGGCTGGACCTCCTGCTGAGGTATTAAAGCAGACAGCAGGAAACTTATTCCTTCAATACTCTTTGATATTCTTGTCAGCCTGCTTCCCTTTTCTCTTCTTCCACCCAGTCACAGAGATCCTGCCAGAGAAGTCTGGGTGCTGCTTTCCATCTCTTTTGCCAAAGGGGTCACCACTGATGCCACCAGAAGTCCAGCACCTTGCAGTGTAACCCCATACAGGGGCTGCCTTTAGTGAATTTGTCTCTCTCCTCTGCCCCACATTAAATGCATGATGGCAGGCAGATCTCTCATCACACAGGATGGCCCTCCACAAATTCTCTATTGTATACAGGCGTCCACCCTGTCTTATATTCTCCCAGTTCCTTCTCCCCTCTGAGAGAGAGCATCAAAAAACAGTGACTAGGGAGGGGCAGGCTCATTGATTCCCTTGGATCTGCCCACTGTTGGATGCACAGGTAGATAGAAACCTCCCAGGGGTCCTGTTTTATAGTGTGCACAGGCCCTTGTGTTTGGTTATGGATGCCCAATTAGTTTATTAAAGGGGAGAAAAATGACTTTTTTTCCATCATAATGCAATAATGCTAATGTCACTCTCCAATAATATACACTTGTGATAGACACTTCCAAGTTGCATTTCCCAAAGCCTGAAATCAACTGAAAACAGTATATAATGGTATCTTCTCTGTTAGGTATGGTAAACATTTTCCTTGTGTCTGTTAGTCATTTGTATTTGCTGATTTAATTTGCCTATTTGTTTCTTGAATTATGTGTTCAAAGGATTAACCCTTTGTCACAAATATTTTCTCACATTTGATCAATTTTAACTTTGCTAATTGTATATTTTGCAATCAAGAAATTTTCCTTCTATATACTCATCTTTATTATCCTCTGGTAAACCCATATGTTTAGCTCATCACTGCATCTTTTTACTTTAATTCTGACTATGTACTGCCTCAAAGTCTTACAGTTTCAATCTAAACGATAAGCAAACATGTGTCATTTATATAGTGTCTTTTGTACTCTCTTTGGGCTTCAGTTTCTTCACCTATAAAATAAGTGACTAACACTTGCATGAGCAAAATGTCCTTTCTATTTCTGACATCTCAGCCATCTATACACAAGAAATATGTTCTGTTAAGAGAAATTATACAAGTAAAAATATAGTAGAGAATCTTAATGGTCAAGGAAGACTAAAGAAAGATAATATTCAAATAGAAATGAAAACTGATGTGCTATTTGGTTAATGGGAGCTGGAAAATTATTTTTATGATCACAAATCCACATTGGTTTTTCTAATATTTTTTCAGTCCGTCAAAAAAAAAAAAAACTCAGACATGCTTAAAGTGTAACAACAATAACAAAAATATCTGTATTTATCACTAGTTGAGTAACCTGGAAGGGGAGCAGGCTCAAAAATGCTGCTCTAGTCTCCTTTGGAGTAACTGAAGTTCTGATGGAGACTTCTTGGAAGGATGTACTGATTGGGGGGGAAATGTTTGGAAGTTTGCATACAGATACAAGATGCGTATTCATGAAGAAAACTTCAGAAAAAGGAAACAAGTTTAAGAGTTCTCTTCTGGAACAACTCAGCACATTGATGCTATGTATGAACATGAGGGACAATCCAAAAAAGGAAAGAAAGCCTACCCACCCCAACCTATGCTTTTTAGAGGTTCTTTTTAAGTCACAGCATTGATTGCATCTGTGGGGAACTTCAGCTCAAGGGGTGGCCAAAGGAAGACTAGATGATAAACAGTAAGTCAAAGCAAGAATTGTAACATGTCTGATTCAGGAATGATCACCTAGTCTCTCAAATATATGAGAAGGAGATGGCTTTAAGAATGAATCTTCTAAATTACACTCAGCATCAAAATATATTTGTAATTACGTTATAAAGTAAATTATATTTCAAGTTTTTTTAAATAAAATTATGATCAATTAAGTACATACTCACTTCCCTATCTGTCTAGCACTGCTGATGTAGAATCCCCTGTTTCTTGGACCTTATACTTTTAAGGAGGAGAAACACATAAAAGTTAATAAATCAATTAACACTCAAAATAAGTTCAGAAAGTGATAAATCACTGAGGAGAGTAGCTGGTACAAGGTGAGACAGAGACACAGGTAATGGAACAGAGGAGGAGGAAAGGTCTTAGAGAGTGATACTTGATAGGAGACATGAAAGGAGAAGGGACTATAAGGGGACAATCAAAGGAAGATTGTTTCAGGCAGAGGGAACAAATACTCCAAGAGCCTTAAGCGGAAATGAATTTATCACGTTCAACAGAGCGGAAATAAGGAGTGTGTGTGCTGGGGGCTCTAGTGCAGTGAAAAACAAAGAAGTATAAAAGGAGGGTGAAGAGTAGATTGGTAGTTAAATGATGATGTAAAGCAGTGGTTATCAAACTTAAGCAAGCCTGGAGAACTTGTAAGAAACAAAAACCATAACAAACCAGATTGCCAACGTCCTATTTTAGGTCTTCTAGTTCAGGAGGTCTGATATAGGGCCTCAGATTTTCATTCTTAGTGAGTTACCAGGTGAGGCTGATGCTTCTGGTCTGAAGACCCAGTTCCTGAACTAACAGTGTAGATCTCTGAATAAAAGACAAGAAATTTGGATTAACTGTACTGTTCCTAAGTATAATGAAAAGTCATTAGGGAATTTGAAGCAATTGACTGGAGGAAACATGCTCAACCTATGTGTATCTTTGAATCTAAAGTGTGTCTTCTGTGCAATGCATATAGTTAGATCTTGTGTTTTTTTTCTTTTTTTTAACCAGTTGGACAACCTCTGCCTTTTGATTGGATTGTTTTATTAATTCATATGTTATTGATGTAGTTGGATTTAGGTCTGCCATCATGCTTTTTTGTTCTATGTCTCATTCCTAATTTGTTCCTCTTTTCCTCCTTTACTAAGTTCTATTAAGTGGATATTTTCTAGAGTAATACTTTAATTTCTGTAATAATTCCTGTGTTTATTTTCTTAGTAGTTGCTTTAAGGTCTAAAAAGTATGGTATACTAAATTAAATGACAGAACCTGCTACAGAAAATAAAATAATCCTCAAATTCTTTTTACTCACATAACTTAATATGGATTTTTATCTGGCAGCACTTAATGCAGTGATTCAGGAATGTAGATTTCTTCCATCTCCTGGCTCCTCTATCTACAGGGCTTCATAATCCTTTAGTTTTAGCCAATGGATAAGAAAAGATAGATTGAGGCAAGTCCACTTGCCTCTAAGCCACCTGGGCTCAGAAGTAATGCTGAGCACTTAGACACATAACCCACAGAAATAAATGATCACATCTCTTCCCCATCTGCTAATGCAAGAAATTTTAAAATATAGTACCAGACCGGGCAGTCAAAGCACCATCTCTGCATGGTAAGAGTCTCTGAATCTTCAGTGCAGTGGTTCCTGCTGTATGAGGATTCAGGCTAGGAAAATACTCTGCATCCTAAGTCATCAAATTCAACCAGCCTAGATTATCAGAGAGGTAGAGAACAGACTGAAAATGTGTTATGGAGCTAGAATCAATAGATTTGCTGTAAGGATATGAGCAACACTGTAGATCATAATCTTATTTACTGACATAAAAAAAAGGAGGTTTGAAGAAGAAAGAATCAATGTGTTTTTGACGTACTAATTCTGAGGTGTTAATTAGATATCCAATTGAAAACATAAAGCATGTATTCGGTTATAGGTATCTTGAGTTCAGTGATAGGTAGAGTATAGGCACATACACTTGGAAATCAAGAGCATAGAGATTGTATTTAAAAGCCATAAACAGGATTTTCTAGGGGAAATGTACAGATAAAAAAAGAGAAGACAAGAACTGAGCCCCACTGGCTAACCGATATCTGGGAGATAGAAAAGATTGAGGAAGTAAAAGAGACTAAGAAGCAGCTGACCCTGTAGTAGAGGGAACACCTTAAATAAGTGTTGTCATGGAACCCAAGAGAAGATAGCATTACTAGAAGAGTCATGGACTGTGCCAAATATTTCCGACTCTTGAAATAAGATAAACAATGTCACCAAGGTCATTTGGGACCTGTTATTTCACTTGGTCCAGGTGTTACACCTGCTTTTAACAAATAGAATGGGCAAGAAGTAATGCTACAGGCTCTCCAAAGATGATTCTGGCCTCTAGCCTTCATGTTCCATACATTAGGGAGAAGTGACAAGCCTTCCTTGCAGTACTGTTTCCACATTCAAGACCCTCAGGATCTGTAACATAATAAACAGCTGTTTTACTCCATTAAGTTAAGTTTTGTGGTGCTATGTTTTGCAGACATAGTAACTAGAGTATAGAACTAGAATTCAAGGAATAACCAAGAGGTAAACAGGGCTGGGGAGAAGGGACAAAGAAGAGCATGTTACTAGAAGATGGTAAAGTGGAGAGGGCTTGGAAGGCCTTTGTCACAACTTTGGCTTTTACTCTGAGATGGAACCCTTTGATAGATTCTGTACAAAAGAGTGGCATGATCTATGACCAAGTATGTATTTGGTTAAAAAAAAAGTATTTTCTGCTGCTTAAGATGGGAAATTTTTGACATTCTTTGTTATAAACCCACCCTGTTGCAATAACTTCTTACTTAGTAGTAACTTCCTACCTCAGTTTCCTGAGAACATAACTTTGGTAGCAAAGAAGCCATAAAATACAGTAAGCAATTCTGTATTACTTTCACTTCAGTTTTCTTCTTTGAAGGAAGTTATTTACGGAAAACTATTAAGGAAGACATTCACCTAGATGGCATTCTTAGTATTTATCTCTGTTTCTAATTATGCCAAAAATTGAGTGAATATTCTGGCTATATTACAGATTTTTACCTAAATTAAATATTCAATAAGGAAAACAAATCTTTCAGAATTTCATGGGTCTCTTGAAGTCCAGCTCAAATGTTCTGCTCCAACACTGCATGTCTGCGTGAACAATGCCCAAGCAATTGGTTAAAAATATCGGGAGCATGCTACCCTGAAGTCTGGCTTAGAGATGCTTCTAGTTGGTAATGGTTCATCTGCAAGAGAATATGTTTTTCTCATGAGAAATGGTATACTGTCATATTTGTGGTTTTATCAAAAAGTCTTTTTACCAACTGGATTATTTTTTCAGAGATGACAAAATCTAAAGTTGCCATAACTACAAATATTGACTTTAATGATATTTTCTAAATTACTTGTGTTTCAGTTCTCTTATGAAACTCGTAAAATGAAAGATGGGAAATCTCCTGTAATTAAATGGTGGTAGAGCACATACTTTCCATAAGGTATAAAATATTTTTAATGAAGAGGGATGATCTCAATACAACGTACTCTAACCATGAGGCCTGAAAAGCAGTAAGATTTTAGGGACATGAAATGTTTAATAAAATTTGAATTTCAAGAGACTCTGTTTTTCCCTTTTGATAACAAATTAATTGTACCATCATGCAGCAGTTGGGGAAAAAAAATCCACCCTAAAAATCAAACAGCAAGCACATGACGGCATGTTTGATTTGTGTTCACATTTTTAAATGATAATTACTTTATTTTGATGCTTACTGTACTTAGTGTGGCTAATAATATTGCTCCAAAGAATTTAATTAACTTATAGTAAAAATATGAGTATTTCACAATGTGCATCTATTACATATTTATATCACTGGATACAATCAATAGATTTTTTTCCCACAACTACAGATTTAATCAACACAGTTCAGGAAGTGAAGTCAAAACTCATGATTCCTATCTCTAAATGATACCATGGAGGCTCTACAAATTGTATCACCTGTCTCATCTTTACCACCTATGAGGTTTGATTGCTACAGTTGTTTCCCATAATATTATTTTAATATAACATCAGATGATACATATAAATCAGGTCTTCTCATTAGAGGAAAAGCACCAGAGTAGGTAATAAATTAAATTGTTTCTCTGTTAGGCAGAGAATTTCGTTGTCTGACTTATATTTTTTTTACAGTGTTTTCAGGTTGACCTTAGAAACTTCCAGATGAAAGGTGAATTTTAACATTTTTCCTAAGATTCATTATTCAAATTCACCTCTGGGTTAGCTTGTATAAGGATTATAGGTTGTAATGAAATAATCCCTTGCAGCCAAACCAGTTTCTTAATATGAGACAAATTAATTTCAGAAATGACCTTGAAGATCTAGACCTTGAAGATCTAGACAAAGTTATTACAAAATATTGATTTGTCAAAAAAAAATTGGTATCAGATTAGCTGGGACACATTTACACCACTTAAAGATGTGACTAAAGATCTCCCTGAAAGTACAAGAACTGAGTCCTAATGTAATGCAGTATGAATAAGATAGAGGGCCTTTGGTTTTCTGCCTTCCACAGTTGATGAAGAAAAACTAAACTCGTTTGAAGTAAATTTAGTGGTTATTGACTTGGTTTTATGAAAACAACTGTTCTGTCTACTTTCCCTCCAAGGAGGTTTTACTGAATTTTATTTCTTTTTCATATATTTGGATTGTCTCTAATCAGTGACATCCTTCTCCTTTGTTTTAAACATCAATGCTTCAGCAAGAGAAACCTTTAAGCCAAGTGGAATTAATAGAATTTGAGGTTCATCTTTTCGTTCATCAGTTAAATCTAGTTATTAATTATTTTAGAGTGTATAGCTGCTATTTTACAATATGTAAAACGCATATACATTTATGAATATAATGTATATTACGTGTATAGTTACATCTCAGTACTCTGCCATACTAGATGAAAATAGCAGTACAGATATTAAAACAATTGTGAATGCAATGGAATTACATCTGATGACATGAGAAGCAAAGGGGGAAAGTACAGTGAGAAGGATGAGTAACAATTTGCACCAGAAATGAGGGAAATACTCACTCAAGAGAAACAGAACAACAAGGAGCAAAACATTTACTTAGTTTGTGGGGAATTGATTTTCTATTCTACCACTGCAGCTCCAGCATGAGCATTTTCCCTCACATTAAGTCCAGTTCAATCCACTTTCTTTAAATGATTGATTCTACGTTTCTAACTCCATTCCTGAAAAGCCATAGACCATAATGACAGTTTCAGGAAGGTTTTGAGCTTAATTGGATCAGATCTAAGTAGAAGCTCAATTCATTATCTCATACTGTGAGTGTATTTCATTGCAGTTTGTATCTACTTACTATTGTTGCTCTCCAAATTCAGATTTTCAGGATTTGGGGGGATTGCTGAGCACGGGTTCTTTTACCCTAAAGAAATGGAGATTGGAAAATAAGCCTCAAGAAATACTAAGATAAATGATAGGAGGAGGGGGCAAAGGAGGATGGAGAGCAGGAAAGACTGATGTAGCTCTTAGCTGAAAGGAGCATCAGGAAGTAGATAATTAATAAGGGAAAGAGGAGAGGGGACCTTAGGTAAAGGTTTAGTAATGAGACAATGTGAAGAGAAAGAGGAATAATAATGGAACAGGGTGTTCTGCACCATAATAATTGGTTTAGGGGAAGGGTTTGCAAAGGCCAGAGGAAGATTTAGTTGAGAAAAAAATGAAAGATCAGAGGAAAAGTGAAGAGAACAGAGGAAAAACAGAATTAAGGAAGCTATTTTTCATAACTTCTTTAAGAATATTCTTTGTTCAAAGTCATGTTCAGAATGAATGACTATGTCTATAATAATCCATATAGATTTATGGTTTATAAACTCCTTGGTGGCAAAGAACTTAACAAACCTTTTAATCAACGTGAAATGCAATTAATGCACTTTGTGTAAGATTGGATGGCATGAGATATTTGCTGTAGTAATCTAGATCATGTAGAAGCAGAAGATTGATGGCTGTCAATAAGTAAAGCAAGAAATATAAATCAGTGGCTTCTTTAGTTAAGACAGCAGAGTGCTATAACCATTGACACCTCCATTTGGTTGATTAAAAAGTATGATCACTTTGTATTGTCTCCTTTGCACTGTATATTTTTGCATATGTAAACTTATATCCATACACTCGATGTGAAAAAGTAATGTGAAAACCAAATCTGGTCATCATTCACCATTTACTGGTCAATTATTATATTGAACATAATTCAAATGTTAAAGGAACAATTACGGTCATTTCATTTAACATGAACTTAAATTTGGTCATGATTACAGGCAGAAAAAAAGTACTTTGCTTTAAAATCTAGAGGTAATTAGGGAAGAATTATTTTTAATTAAATAAGTAGGCATATGTTTCTGTAAGGAGATTTGTATGTGTGTTTAAGCAGCTAAAAAAACCGAAAAGAAGGGGCAGCCAGCTCAACAGTAGCCATGTGATAGCACAGGCCGGTAGATGTGAAGACCACCTTAGGAAGAGAAATAACCAGTGGTGTTTAGGAAGGAAATGGCATTACTAACAAGTAGATTTAAGCCATGCAAAGCTGAATAGTAACAGGACCAAGAATGTGGAAGATACATTTGGATATATATACATGACAAGAGACAGAGAGCATACTATTATCAATTTGATACAGCCTCCTAGAATCTATGCAAAGAAGAGATTCTTTCTCTACATAAGTCCTATTCCTCCGTCTCAATACAGAAAACTCTTCTACAGAAAGATTATTGGACAGTTCCATTACTGGGACGCTTTTATAACTATAAGCGAAAAACATTGCATTTTTAAGACTTCACTTTAATTTTACTATATGAACCATGAGAAGGAATAACTAGTTTCTTGTTCAAATAGCAGAAATTTATAATTTTGATGAGAATGATATACATTAACCTCTTTTTCTCAACAAAGTTTCCCTAGTTGTAAATCACATTAACCATAGGCTTTGGCATGCTTTAGTTTGAAATGTTTTTCCTCAAGGTATGTATTAGAATGAAATTCCTTCTAGGAAACACCCTTGTTTTTATGTACTATGCAAACAAACAGAAAAAGACTTTAAATTTTACTTCCTAAGGAGGTTTAGTCATCAATCACTGATGCAAAATGTTATTTGGGACATACGGTCAACTGGTGGAACGGCTTCTGGCAGGGGTTTGGCAAATGCTGAATAAAGAAGCAGCGTGGCTTTCAGTTTTCCACTGTGGGCTTCTGGTAGTTTCAGTTTGAATTTACAGAATATCAGATTCACTCCAACTTGGGTGTAAGTGCAAAATGTAGGCAATCTTTGTATTTTTTGCTATGTTTGTTTGTGTATCAATATAGAAGCAAAAATTACCTGCATATATTGATACATTCATATATCTTTATCTACTTCATCATACCATAAAATTAAATAACAATTAAATTTTTGAGTAAAATAAATTCATAAGCAAATAGCAGGAAGAGCAGAATAGATTCCTCAAGAATCTGTTTACAATAAATGAAAACTTTATAATGAGAGGTAAAAACCTCCATGTTTCAGAAGTGGAATAAGGCATTTAATCTACGCATGGAAAAATATTCATTAAGTGTCTATGTACATGATCCTGAACATCCTATTCTATAAATATGAAACTGTCCCTGCCCTCAAAGAGAGGTCATGGGGAGAGGGCTTAAGAAAAGCACCAGACAGCACATAAGTTTAGTAGGGCAATGCAAGATGGATGCAATAGATGGAGATGAACATTCCAGGCAGAAGGAATAGTCTAAGGAAAGGCAGAGAAGAAAATGGGTGATATGAAGTTGAAAGTAATTAGAGGGCATTGAGTTCTCATGAGTGACAGTGAAGTAAATTCACAAATAAGTTTTCCTTGATGATAGAAGTATTTAAACATAACTATAGTTAATGAATTTCTATTTTTTCTCTTACTGAGAATACTAACTCATATTGCACTTTAACAGAATCACTTCACTTAAATGCTAATTAATACAGAGGGAAAAACCCTCACCCTTTGGTTTAGACTCTTTCTAGTTTAAAAAGAATTGTTATCTCTTGAGTTAATGGTCTCATTAAAAAATACATACATTTTCAGCAAGAGTAAAGCAAGCTCTATATTTAGGTTTAAGTAAAGGATAGATTAAACACACAGAGAAGACTAAGTTTAGAAATAATTTTTTAACTATATAGTGCAGTACAGTCTGTTGTAGTAGTAGTATGGAGTTACTTTTAGAAAAAGTAACTCAACCAGTTTTGTTTAAATCCTTTCATTACTAACAGTAAAAGAAAAAGAATCAATGTAAGTAAAATAGTATGCCTTGAATTCAAAGGTATCTTTTTTTCTTTTTAGGATATTCTTTTACTGCTAAGCAATCTAATAAAATATAGCATCTGAAAAAAATATTAATGAAGCACTTCAAATCTTTTGTAAGGAAATCAGGAAAGAAGGCCTGAGAGGAGGAAGTGAGAGGAAAAAGAAGAGAAAGAGAGGAAGGAAAAAGAAATGAAAGTGAGAGTTTTCATAATAATTTAGCATTTTTATATATGGAAGAAAGATATTCTCCTTGGAAAATTACCTGCTCCAGTGGTTTTAATGGGCATTTTAAAGGAAACTGGTGGTCTTGTTCTCTTCGTAAAAAATTCAAGGCCAGTGAGAAAAAGATACCTTTTCCCATGGAAATGAGCAATTTCATGAACCTTCTAGAGAGCATATGGTCACCACTAATCTAGTGACTTAATCCTCTCCTTTGGGTCTCTTATTCTATTTCAGGTTATCTATCCTTTGCCTCCAGGCAGGACTACAACTAAGCCATGGAAGACAGATGGGTCTCTAGCCTAGTCAAGATTTCTAGGGAAGTCATTTTCACAGCCTCTCAACATAAATCAAAATAACCAGCCCCAGAATCTAGGAGGAATAACAAATTATCCCAAGTAGGCAGAAGTTATTGGTCAAGAAACACAAATTAAATACTTTGCATACTATCTAAGGCTCTTTACAGGTATGGACCTAGGCTTTCTTTTCTTTTCGAAGAGTCTTTGTTATAATCTGTTTAAAGCCTTAAAGTCATAATGGCGATTTCCCCTTTGCCCCAATCAATTCAATCCTCAAAATATTTGAAAACTGTATTTTCTAAATTTAACAATGTGAAATTTTAAAAAGGGAAAACACAGCCCCCACAAAATAAAACTTAAATAAAATATGGGAAAATCCAACCTGCTTAACTTTTAAGCTATCCCATCATTTTGCCTTTTCCCATCATCAGGTTTTACAGCTAGTTTAGCATTTTTATCCTTCACAATTCCCTGTCAACACTGACTTCTTCTGGTGCACTAAACATAAAGATCCATTATTCCCAGGCTTTGCTTTGTAGGCATATACCTTTTATACCACACAGTATCCCCATTCTTTATCATCATGCCTAAATCCAACACATCACAAAAGCCTCACTAAAAATGACTCATGCAAGATGATGCCTCCTTCTACAGACTGAAAACAATGATAGGAGGGTTTATTGAACTATATAATTATTTATTAACTAATTAACAAAGTCCAAGTAGTATGAGAATTATAATGTATAAACTAATTTGTTCCAAAAGACATTCAATGAACTAAGTATTATTAATTATCCCTAATCTAAAAATGGAAAAAAAAACCAACCTAAGATGGATAGGAATAATAACATTTACCAATAATTTATTTGGCTCTTAGTATGTCTTAGGCACTGTTATAAACATAATTTATATTTTTTCTATTACAGTAAGCTGTTATTTAACAAAATAGATAGATTAGTAGTGAACAAATATTTTCAAAGTAGTGTTTGATTTTTCACTGGTTTGCCATTGTGAAAAGTTCCCTTTAATTTCAGGAAACTTACCAGATCACGATGACAATGAAATTTTCTCCTCAGAGTGAAACAGTGCTCTCTGAAAAAGACGAACAGTGTGGAGCAGTGATTCATACTTAGAACAACTGACTGAATTTTTAGTAAATATTAATATTATATTGAAACAATAAAAGAAGAATGCTGATCTTGGTGGTAAACAGTGTCATGATTCAAGAGGAAGAAAATGAAAAGGGTGGGAGAACTTTTGGAGGCAATGGATATGTTTATGGTATGCATTGTGGTGATGGTTTCATGGATGTCAACTTCTCTCCAAATTCATCAAATTGTGTACATTACATCCATACAGCTCTTTGTGTCTCAGTCATACTTAAAAGTGACTTAAAAAAGATAGCTGTTGAAAAGTCTCATATAATCTCTGTACCTGACTTTATTACCTCTGAACACTATATGTATATTCCCAATTATGCATATGGAATTCCCAGTTATCCAGGTGGAGTTACTATTTAAAAAGGTTAATCTTGGTAAATGATGAATCAATCTCGTTTTTAAAGTTGTACATTCATTATGATTAAACTAATGGACCTGCAAGACCCAGACTGTCTCCCATTCAATTTCAGATTATTACTTTACTATAGTTTAGTAAATTCTTACCAATTATATAACGCTTTTACAGGCCTACAGTGGAAGCTGATTATTGATAATGCAATAAACACAGAACAAGTAATTACCTTTATGGGGGGAAAAAGTCTATCATTTGTTCTTGTCTTCATACAAAAGTTGATGTGTGTATCATTTTCAGTCTTACTCTATTTCAGTTCTCATCCATAACTTATATCCATAGATCTGTAATAAAAAAAATCACTAAAATAAGGACAAATAACAGCAAATAGCTGACACTTAGCAGTATCAGAATTTTTAACCATAGGTAAAAGGTTTATATTCTTGCTGCTGCTATAAAATTTTCTACAGATTTCAGAATAAGTGAGATTTTAGATACAAAAAAACTGTGTTCAAGTGTCAGTTTAACTTGATGTATATTTTGGAAGAAAAAGCACAAGAATTCTTCATGTCCTAGTTCAAATAGATTTTGAACAGATTCTTTATCAAGACTGTTACTGTCTTCATAAAGGAAACAATACAGCTTGTACAACGGTAAGTTTCCAACATTATTTTACAGATTTTTACTTACGTAAGGAAAATTTTTTACGATTTAAAAATGATTCTTTCTTCATACTTGCTATTACCTAAATGATACATGCTCCCCGATATTGCCTCGTTACTAACTGCCTTCTTAATAAATAAACTGTTGTTGAGATAAATAGACATCCACCTCTGATTGATTAGGAAGCATTTTTTCTTCTCCAAAATATCTTAGCAAAATCAAAGAGGAACTCTTTCTTTTATCCAAGCTTTGAGTAAGCAATGTAAACTAACCTTATATTGTAGTAAACCGTTTTCTCTCATTAAGCCCCTGCTAAGAATTCTGTATTAAAAAGAAAAGCCTCACTCTAGGGATGGCTGGATTTCTGCTGAATATGATGCATTTTCTTCCTTGGAAATTGTTTGGGGATTCTTTAAGATAGAAGATCTGTATAAAAGTTATTATTATTGGTTACCTGTCTTGGTTCCTTGGTTCCTATGTTGGCTGTTTCCCAGAGGTAATTTTCATTAGACCTTACACTGTTACACTCTAGACCTTCACCTCTTTTTGTTTGCTTCAGTCGGTACTCTCAGACTCACAAATGTACAGGGAAACAGAGATCTTCCTTTGATTGATTTAGGGAAGCAGGTGCACAATTTTGTGACCTGACTTTTTTTTTCCCTGCAAGTCTTCTCTTTCAAGTCCCTTAATCTGATATAAAGGACATGGTAGTCTCTAATCACACTCTAATCTCTATTGGTCTAAATCCAAATAATTTCCTTCCGCACCCTGCCTGGTTGAGACTTAAATCCCTTATTATTCAATGATCCTATTTTTAAACTCTGCTTAGGAAAGCAGTGGTGACTTTTGATGCTAATCCTATTCAGTCCACTGACTCTATCCCCTTCAGGGAAATGGCCAAGGATTGTAAGGGGGTAAATATATAGCCAGCCGCATAATAAGAAAGAGAGGACAGCTAAGTTAGAATTTTCAAAACTACAGAGGATAATAAAAAAAGAGCTGTTATAGTAAAACCCAAGTGTATTTATTCTGATGAGCTATCTATTCGTTACATTGGAAATAACTAGTTAAGTCCTTTAGTCACAGTTTTTCATAGCCTAGGAGTTCATAGCTGCAGGATTGTAGGATAAGCATTTGATTTTCTATTCAAGGCAACAGCAATGGCAAGTCCTCGGTCAGAGCCTTCAAATGAAAATTGAATCTGACCACATTCCGTGTTCAAATTCTAAATGAGTATGTTAATTAATATGGTAAATAACTCTTAGGTTGTTCTTTCTCAGTTTTCTGTTTGGAAGTTGAAAGTGGCCAAAAAATAATAAATAAAAAGAAGAAAAAAACATACAGCAGAGGAAGCTCTGGGCTGGGTGTCAGGACACCCGGCTTCTCTGTTTTACAGCCCCGTGATGGTCAAACAAGTATATAGAGTGTAGATTCTAAATCAATTTTTAATATAAAGAGAGTGTTCAGATAAAAGATTATGAAGCCACTTTAGTATTAAAAGGCTATGAAGTTGTTGGGAAAGGCATCCTTACACGGACATCCTTTCTACCCCTTCTGGCTGCAGGAGAATGGGTCTTGGGCTTGGGGTACTTCCTTAGCAGGAGATGAGAGCTGCTCAGAGCCAGTGCCAGGCTGATCACCTTGTGGGGGTACAACTTTCCCTGCTGCAGATGCAATGTGTGCTCCTTTGTTCTGCTTCACTGTCTGTATCATGGCACCTGGCCAACCCCACTGCTATGTCTGTCCTCTGTAAGGAGGAATGAAGCCTTTCTACTATAGCACAAGGGTGCATGCAGACCAGCTGTCTGCGTCGACTACCAGGAGGGACCCACTGGCCGTAGGGGACTGAAGTCCACTACAGAAGCTAATCTTGCCCTGTTTCTTCTCTATTTGAGTAAAGCATTGTTCAACCAGTGCTTGATTGCACTGTGTCTCCCTGGAAATTGTGGTGGGAATACTAAAGAGGTGACACGTGGAGAAACAGGTTCCCTCATCCTGTGTATGACGACTCAATACATGGGCCTGCGCCTGCCTCCAAGGTCAACACCAAATTAGACAGAGCAAAGGATTTGAGAAAGGAGGTATGATATAAACCACCAACCAAATAGTTTAGTCCCAGATGAACTCCTGAGCGGCTCATGCACAGGCAGACATAAACACACAGCAAACTTCATAGGTGCACTGACATTGGAGCACTGCCCACAGAAAACGAAACAGAACTTGCCTTCTGAACCCAACCATGTTAACTGCCTTCTAAAGTAGCAACAGCAACTATAACAACACAACAAACACAAAATTCTCCAGAGGATTTGACTAGATCCTCCAGAATCTAGTCAATCTCCAGGATCCCCCAATATAATATTCCAAATGTCCAGGATATAATTCAGAATAACAGTATAGCAAAGTCAGGGGGTAGGGAGACAAAGGAAAAACTGATTAATCATCAAGTAAAAAGAGAAAATATGTCAACTCAAGATTGCCATGACAATGAGATTATCACAGAAAGACCTTATGAGAACTCTTGAGACATAATCCATGAAGGAAGGGTAAACATTCCTCAGTGGGAAGTAGAAAGTTCATAGCAGAAAAATCAAAATCATAGAAAAGATCTAAATAAAATTTTGGAAATTAAATATAAAATACCTGAAATTTCAAAAATGCTAGATGGCCTCAAGTGCAGAATAAGGATGAAAGAAAAATGAATCAGTGAAACTGAACACAGATCAGTAGAAATTTTCTAATACGAAGAGAAAAGATAGAAAAAAATAATCACTGAATTAGCCCTCCCCTTCTATTCAATTTCATGCTGGAAGTCCTAAACAATATAGCAAGGAAATAAAAAGAAATTAGCAAGATAAAGTTTAGAAAAGATGAAATAAACTGTCTGTATTAATAGATTCTATAATTTTCTATAGAATCTCATGGAATCTACACAAAATACTTCTATAACTGATAGGTTAGTTGAGCAAGATGGCAAGAGACAAGACAAAAATCAGTTTTTTTCTAAATAGTAGCACTGATCACTTGGAAATCAAAATTTGCAAGAGCACATACACAAAATAAAGCACTGAGCTATAAATCTAACATAATATGGCCTGAATCTGATAAAAAAAATCAAGAGTTTAAAAAATGGAGAGTTTATACTAAGTTTGTAATTGGAAGACTTACTAGCATTATATCAATACTCTTCAAACTGACCTATAGATCAATATAACTCAAATCAATATTCCAAAAGAATTTTTTATAGATATTAAAAAGATTATTCTAAAATTTATATGGAAAAGAATAGAAGAGTTGAGTAACTCATATTATACAATTCCAAGACTTACTATAAAGCTACAGTAATCAAGACAGTGTGGTATTGCCAAAGAATGCAAATATTGATCAATAGCACAGAAATGTGAGTTCAGAAATAGACCCACCATATACGATTGATTCATTTTCAACAAAGGTAAAAAATCATAATTTAAGGTGAAAGCGTAGTCTTTTGAACAAATGGTACTGGAAAAATTGGATATTCATGGATAAATAATTTAACTTTTACCTATAGCTCAAAATAAACCATAGATTTAAATGTAAAACCTAAAACTTTTAGGAGTAATCATAGGAGAAAAATCATTGTGGCCACATTTTAGGCAAATGTTCTTAGATAGGACACCAAAGCATGCGCCATCTAAAAACACAGATAAAATGAACTTCATCAAAAGAAGCAAATAAGCAACTTTTTAAAATAAGCAACATCATCAAAACTGACAATAAAAATATAGGTCAAGATGCAGAGCAATTAAATTCTAATACATTGCTGATGGGAAGGCAAAACAGTACAGCATCTTTAGAAGGAGTTTAGTAATTTCTTAGAAAGATAAACATATACAAACTACACGACCAGTTAGTATCTACCCAAGAAAACTGATAACCCGCTTGCAAATGTTTATAGCGGTTTTATTTTTAATTGCAACTGGTTAAAAAAAAAAACCTGTGGTACCTCTATATGATGAAACACTACTCAACAATAAAAAGGAATGAACTACTATTGATACATATAACAACACGGATAAACCACAAATGCACAGTAAGCAAAATACACTAGACTAAAAAGACTACAAACAATACAATTCCATTTTTCCACTACCCCGGAAAAGGTATAATTTAAAGAATGAAGAACAGTTCTGTGGTTGTTAGGAATTAAGAATAAGGGGAGTGATCAACTCTAAAAAAGCAACACAAGGAAATGTTTTGGGTTGATGGAACTGTTCTGTATCTCTATTATAGTGGTGGTTAAATGATTCTATGCATTTATCAAAACTCATACAACTGTACACAAAAATGAGTGAATTTTATAGTAGGTAAATACAAAAAATTATATTTCCTTAAATGTAGTGTCTATTCTTCCTAGTTTTCTAGCCATATCCTCTTTTCTGTTTGTTTACTGAAAAAGTAGGCATCGGTGGTGACAATTAGCCAAATACTAGAAAATAGATAAACATTTAAAAAACAAAAGGAAGATATTTTGCCTTCATGCAGCTTACTTTCTATTGGGAGGAAACACACAATGAACATGGTTATTAAGCAAAATATAGACTATGTTATTTGATGATAAGAATTAGGAAGGAATTAACAAGTGTTAGAGTGGTAGTATCATTTTATAGGATGGTAGGGAAGATATCACTGGCCAGAGAAA